ACACAGCCGGCGGGGCAGTTAGAAGAGCGGGGGGGGGGTGGTAATTTTGGGGGGGGGGGGGAAGGGGCGTGGGGGGGGCATATCCAGGCCCCCATGGTGGTGGGGGGGAAGTGGGGCTGGGCCTGGGATAGGGGTAGGCAATGCACAGCCACAGCAGGGTGCTGGATGGAGCCGTGAGTGGCTCATTGAGAGGGCAGCTCTTGCCAGTGCACACCCCCCCTCCAGGGAGAGGCATGGGGGGCACGTGCCCCCGAGCTGTGCATGGGACAAAGGTGGGCTGGCACTGCAGGCTGGTGCTGTGGGCTGGGACAGGGTGGCACCAGGCTCTTCCTGGCAGAGGGGCCTGGGCCAGGGCTGCATTCAGGGCGGACGGTGGCAGTGCTGGGAGCGGGGCTATGGGGTGGGCTACAGCCACCCCAGAATTCGCTGTAGCCCCAAAATAGCTACTACTCCCAGTGCTGCCCACCCCAAGCGTGGCCCTGACCCAGCTCCCACTGCTGGAAAGAGGCCAGTGCCACCCTGGCTGCAGCCCACAGCTGCAGCCCACCTTCACCCTGCACACAGATCAGGGGGCACATGCCCCCCATGCCTCTCCTGGGGATGTGCACAGTGGAGGGAGCTGCGCCCCCCATGCCTCCCTCCAAGTCGCTTATGGCTCTATCCTGCACACTGCCCCACTCCAGCTGGGCAGCACCTGCCCCTCCCCACTACCTCCCTCACCACGAGGGGGAGGCCTCGATATGCCCCCTCACGCCCTTTCCCTCCCCTGCCCCCCCAGCAGACCTACCAGCCAGACACTGCTCTCCAAGCTGCTGGGCTGCATATTGGCAGTCAGATCAGTATAAGCCAATATGGCTCGTTACTAATCAGCCATCGGCATCAGTCCAAAAAAATCGTTATCAGTGCACCCCAACTGTTTGCTGTACAAAAACATGGACTTTCTTCTTTAAAGGAGAAAAATGCAGGAAACCACTGGTTCCCCATTGCAGGCTAGCAGAGTTCCAGCCTCCAAGGGACTGCTTGGAGTTAGGCGGAGCAGAAGGGCAATCACAGGCAGGGGGCATGATGTTCATGTGCATGCACACACATGCATATGGCAACCAGGCAGCACGGTAGAGAGCAGCTCCCTGCAGGTAAGTCTATGGGGGGGAGGGGGAGGGAGCAGGCATAGATGACACAGTGGGGTGGGCATAGACGATGCACTGGGGCATCCTTTATTTTACACTCTTTAGCTGAGGCCATCACGTGAACCATAGGCAAGTGAGTCATGACCAGAGTTTGCCCCCATTAATACACAGCCAATCTAGTATTGGAATACAAAGAGAGAAATTTCAGATGCCAATTCTGACAGTTTTGATATCTTTCTGCAGCTCTGGAGAAGTCATTTTCAATTTTGCTACGTAAGAAAGTGAAGTTCAAGCAGCAACTTAATTCAGAGAGGTGTAGTGATTAGTCATACTTGAGTGTTTGAGCATGAAGTGCTCTTTATAGAAAATAATATTACATCCCAAATCTCATAATTACTAGCCAACAGTGTAGCAGAAGGCTGCAAGCAGCCCGGCTCTGCCCACCTCCCTGGATTTGGATAATTCTGTCCTCCTTACCTACATAATATT